TGCTCCAACACTGGAAGTTTTTAAGAAGAGACTGGACAGCCATTTGTCTGAAATGGTATAGGGTTTCCTGCCTGAGCAGGGGGTTGGATTAGATGACCTCCAAGGTCCCTTCCAACTTTATTATTATTATTATTATTATTATTATTATTATTATTATTATTATTATTATTATTATTATTATTATTATTATTATTATTATCTGACTGTTCCCTTGGCACCGTTCAACTAGTTGCCGCATACCATTACACCTGCCGCCAGACTCTGTAATTTAAACCCTTAATTTAATCATTTAAATCCATTCTCCTGTGGCTTCTGCTCGGAGACGTTGCAAGCCTGTATTTAAAGGGCATTTTCGTTCCCTCTTTAATCATATCTTCTCCAGGCTAAGCCATTCCCTGCTTGTAAAATCTTGTTTCTAACTCTTCAGTCATTTTTCTCCTTGCCCTTTGGGAAAACATGTTCCCAACTGCCTAAATTCATCTGAAATGTGGGCACCTATAAGAATATCACTCACCCCCTCGCCCAAAAATAAGATTCTAGTCCTCGCTTGGGTCAAATTCTTCGACAAATTAAAGCTGTGGTCCCTCGGAAGGAGGGACCAAGAAGCAGTCAAGGTAGAGAAATATAAACTTAGTAATTATGAGGCAGTTCGGTGTAGTGGTTAAGATGCGGGGCTGGAAACCAAGAGATTGTGAGTTCTAGTCCCACCTTAGACCTGAAAGCCAACTGGGTGACTTTGGGCCAATCACCAGGAGACTGTGAGTTCTAGTCTCACCTTAAAGCTGGCTGGATGACTTTGGGCCAATCACCAGGAGACTGTGAGTTCTAGTCTCACCTTAAAGCTGGCTGGATGACTTTGGGCCAGTCACCAGGAGACTGTGAGTTCTAGTCCCACCTTAGACCTGAAAGCTGGCTGGGCGACTTTGGGCCAGTCACCAGGAGACTGTGAGTTCTAGTCCCACCTTAGGCACGAAAACCAGCTTGATGACTTTGGGCCAATCACCAGGAAACTGGGAGTTCTAGTCCCACCTTAGGCATCAAAGCCAGCTGGGTGACTCTGGGGCCAATCCCTTTCTCTCAACCCAGCCCACTTTACAGGGTTCCTGCTGAAAGGAAAAAGAGAGAAGGAAGCAACAATTACAGACCTTCACCACCTTGGGTTGCTTATAAAGGAATAATGGCGGAAACAAACCAACAAACGGCTCACTTTATTTGTCCTGGCAGATACAAACGTAGACGACATGGACGTCGACTTGGATAAAGAATTTTTACAGGGCCTGAAAGAGTTAAAGGTTCTGATTGCAGACAAAGATCTGCTGGATCTGCACAAGAGGTATGGAAGAGGGGCTACCTGGAGGGGGCTTTGCAGAATACTCAAAGCTTTGGGTTAGCACACAAGGCAAATTCGTGTTTGCCCTTTGCCTATAAGGCAGGTGAATAATGCGTTAGGAGCTGGCTGGAGATATCACTAGATATCATGTCTGAGATAGTATAGTATATAGGGTCACCTGCTTGGGGGGGGCTGGACTAGAAGACCTCCAAGGCCCCTTCCAACCTTGAGCATTCCAACATTTGAGTGTGTGTGTGTGTGTGGGGATGTTCTCTAAAATTTCCTGATTTTTTTCCTAATTCTTTCCTTTTCATTCTTTCTCCACAGCCTGGTCTGCACTGCACTGCGGGGGAAGATCTCCGTCTTCAGTGAGATGGAAGCCAATTTTAAGGTGGGTCCAGCTGGAGCCCAGGTCCAGAGTGTGAATCCTGACACACCTCCCTGTGCTCCCACAATCTCCTTGTTAATGTAATAGGTAAAAAAAAATAAAAATCTGAATTTTCTCCAGAATCTGATACAAACCGGGAAGTCCTTGTGAGCTGTTATTTAGCATTTGGCCACACGGGGGTGCCAGTGCACTTTGGGGAAAAAAGCCCACCCTCCTGCAGAGCCACAAAAATAGGGGTTCTACAGATGTAGAAAAGTTAAAAATAGCGGGGGGGGGGGGGGTTTGG